TGGCACACAGGTTTTTTCACCCTGAAAGTAAAAAACTAATGGAATTACATTCAAAAGTAGCATTAACTAGAACAAGCTGCTCTGCAATGACTGTGCAGAGTGTTGAAGATTATGGTTAGTCTGACAACATACTCTGTGATAACTGTGAGCCAGTCTTTCAGGAAATGCCAAAGGGTCTTGATTTTTCTGCCTAAAGGTGCTGTATCTGAAGTTCTTAACAAACCTTACAACTCTCAAGGAGATTGCAAGCACTGTAGCAAGGAGTGGCAGTAGGTATCAGCAATACTTGGAACTAACAACACCTATGTGATACAGCAGAAACAGGTTGTTAGCTGTTATCAGGATGGCAATGCAGATAATGCAGGAGGTGGGATTTGGGTATTCTAAAGCACCTCTCCTGACCACAGGACTGACTAGCTTCGTGGAACAATAACCCCCTAGTACTTTAGGAGAGCAAAGATCAGCACTTCTGACATCGGCTGGGACCTAGACAGACAAGCAGTGCTTCAGAGACAGTGCTGACCTGCCACAAAAGGTTCTGAAAATTGTCTTCCACCTCCATAAACCAGCAGCTCACCACTTATCATCAGGAGACAGCTGCCCCAGTAGGTGTGTATGATGAAAGCTTACAACTGCACCAACGCTGCTGGTGTGATATTCTTAACAGGATATCCAGTGTTTATGCCACACTTAGAAAGGCTGCAGTTAGTACAAATGGTGTTTGCACGGCCAGTGAGTGGGCTATAATGATGGTACTGCTTTTCCTATGATGATTCCTGACCTCTTCTCTGAGCAAATGTTGGAGCTCCTACGTACTTGTGGGTTGACCCTGGCTGGAGACCAGGCATCCACCAAAGCCACTCTTTTAGTCCCCTCTGCAACTAGACAGGGGAGAGAAAATATAACTAAGAGTTTATGAGTTGAGATAAGGCCCAGGGGAGAGCAGTCATCAAATACCATCATGGGCAAAATGGACTTGAATTGGGGATATTAACTGAATTTATTATTAAAACAAATCAGAGCAGAATAATGAGAAGTAAAATAAATCTGAAAAACACCTTACCCCCACCCTTTTCTCCCTTCCAAGCTCTACCTCCTCCCCCACAAGCAGCACAGGGAGACAGGGAGTGGGGGTTATGGTCAGTTCATCACAGGTTATTCCTGCCACTGCTCAAGGAAAAGAGTCTTTCCCCTGCTCCAGCATGGGGTCCCTCCCATAGAATACAGTCCTCCATGAATTTCTCCAGTGTGAGTCCATCCCACAGGCAACAGTTCTCCATAAACAGCTGCAAGGTGATTACTTGTCCACAGGGTGCAGTCCTTCAGCCACAGGCTGCTCTAAGATTGGTCCACTAGAGGGTCATAAGTCCTACCAGCAAACCTACTCCAGTGTTGGCTCCACTCTTCATAGGTCTGCAGGTCTCTGCCAGAACCCTGCTCCAGCATGGGCTTCTCACAGGTTCACAGCCCTTTCTCAGGCATCCACCTGCTCCAGCGTGGGATCCTCCACAAGCTGCACTTGGATCTCAGTATCCCTGTGGTCCTCCATGGGCTGCAGGGCGATGCCTGCTTCACCATGGTCTTCACCATGGGCTGCAGGGGAATCTCAGCTCCTGTGCCCCGAGTGCCTCCTCTCTTTCCTTCTCCACTGGCCTTGGTGTTTACATAGCTGTTACTCTCACTGCTCCTCTCTGGCTGCAATTTCAGCTGCACAATAACTTTTTTTCCTTCTTAAATATGTTAGCACAGAGGTGTTACTATCATCCTGATTGTCTCAGCCTTGGCCAGTGGTGGGCCTGTTCAGGAGTCAGCTGGCATTGGCTCTGCTGGACATGGAGGAAGCTTCTAGAAGCTTCTTCCTGAAGCCATCCCTGTAGCCCTCTGCTACCAAAACTTGGCCACACAAACCTAACACAATACTATAGTAAAGCAAAGGGAAGAGGTGCAGTGGAGTGGTGCAGCAACATGATAAATCATTGGATGCATAAGATACAAGTATATGAGGCATAGCATGAATATTAAATATGTTAAACATGAGGCAGGGGTACAAACCCCTTTGTTTGGTTTGATTGTTTCTTACACAAAGAATTTTTTCTTAAGATTTTGTTACATTTAAGAAACATCTCCAGAAAGTTCTCATGTCTGTCAGCTGACAGTCTTTTATGGCTTTGACCCAATAAAGCACTTTGGGTATGAATACTAGCTTTGGACTTTGTTCTATTTCTCTAAAAATTCCTAAAGTGGGATCTAACCTGTCTAACTTAGTAGCCTTGTCTAATCTAGCCCAAACTTTAAGAGAACATTGAATTGACCTCCTTAAAAGCTTCAGGTCCTCACTTAGTAAAAAGAGAATGGTAAACCCACTAAATGTTTCTCAAGGAAGTTTAAGTCTAAGTTTAGAAACATTTAAGCAATTAATTAGGAAGACAGCGTCTCCCTCTACAGGACTTTAGAGACCTATCTCTGGTTTCACACAGGAATTACATCTTCTAGGAGAACTTTTAGATACTTAGACAATGAGTAAAATCTGGGTCCCCAATTTCAGGAATTTCAGATCAGATCCCACTCCAGTAATTTCAGTGATTATAATCAGGCCTTGCTGGGTTAGTCACTACAAGAGGAAGCATGAGCTGATGATCAGAAGGTGTAAAAGTGAAGTGTCACATTAGATTGGTTCTGTCACTGCTCCGGTACTAGTCCGTCCTGTGCCTTATACAAATCACAATATTATCCTCATTTTATGTAAGGAGAAAAAATGATTATGAGCCTTTGGAAAAATATTGAACTATATCGACAACTGTTGTTATTATTACACACATCTGGCCAAGTTGTGGGGAAACCACAGGATAGGAAATAGCAGATAGTTCAGGTTGACAGGCTCCACAGTGAAAAGTAGTGTCATAAATGCAAAATGTAATGCTTAAACTTTAGAAGGTTAAATTGGCAATAATTAACCTTAGTTCTTTTTTCATATGTACAAAAGAAAGATCAAAGACCTTTAATAGACCATCAGGACTTGCTTTTGCTTAAAATCTGAAGAACTAAAAGGTGCTTTCTGTGAACAGTATTGTTCTTAAGGCACTTTTGAAATGAAACGGGTTATTTTAGTTCTGTACAGCTCACCCATAAATTTTATTTCAATATAAGCATTTCCAGTTTTACCATGAAAGCTACAAATGCACTCCTATGAAAAAACTTTCTGGTGATAGAGGGAAGTCGTATGTCAGAAGAGCACAAAATAATGTTAAAATAGAACTAAGCAGCCTGGATAATTTTCTTTTATTTATAATATATGGAAGTGGAAATCAGAGAAAGAGAGAAATTTATGGTTTGTTTACATTCTTTTTCAAGCAGTGTATACCTGAAAGTCAGATTCATTACCTGTCCCACCCTCCTTTGTACCTACAACATCTTTTCTCCATCTCAATTACCAAAACATCCCCCAAAGGCCCTCCTGGATAGGTGATTCAAAACAACATTTACACTGTGTCCAGCTAGCAATAAAATTACATTCTATAGCACCCTTTGTAAGGTTCTCAAACCTTTCTGGAAATGTTCATTACTATCACGGGAAAGCACAGCGCTCCTTGCTGGCCTGGTGCTGCCCACAGTGCGCCATCCCACCAGCAGAAGGCTCCCTAACCCATCGAGAGCCGCGGGAGCATCATCCCCGAGCGGCGCCCGCGGCGGGGGCAGCGGGCTGCGCCCGGACTGCACGGGGCAAGGAGCGGGAGACACACACGGAGGGGGGAGGAGGCTACAGCCCACACACAGGGACCACAACGACGGATCTCTGCAGGACGCTTTATCGCTCCCGCACTCGATTATCCAGTAACCATTATCCGCTGATTGTTTGCTTTTGTTTTAATGCTTAAGGCAACTGTGTCTAGTATAGAGCCTCTTTTTACTTTAGCCTTTCAAATGAATTCTCGATTACTCAGCGTGCAAATATTTGCAGGAGTCTAGCAGTTGACAGGCTTGTATCACTTTCATCTGCACATGTGGTATGCCCAAAGTATGGGGTATATGTTGACGAGAACTTCAGTGACATCTTCAATATGGCTGATTATCCTAAAAGCTGTCCTGCTTGATATTTGTATGTTTTATTTACAGTTGAAGTACAGAGGGCTGAATTAATCTCTGTGCTAAAAGCTAGCTTCATCTCAGATCACAGAAAATGAAACTGAGTTGTGCATTTCTGCACTGCAAGAGAGCAAGTTATGGCAGCCTTGAGGATTCCTCTGCTTTCCAGGGTCACAGAGGACCCTCCAGCAATCCTCGGGACTGTGAAGGACTATGAGCTGCAGCAGCACAGAGAAATGTCTGTCAATATACTTTAATGCCCTCCAAAACATCCCTCTGCTGACAGTACAATGGTGGCCACTTCAAATCTACTCTAGCTAAAAAATGCCTTTACACTCCTGTGAGTTACTTATGGCAGCTTTACAGCTCATTTACGTAAAGGAATCATGAGCCACAGATGAATCAGGCTCAAAAAAATTATTTGCAAAAGGCCACACAGTAAGCAGCAGGGAGGATATGAACCAGGGACTAAGAGCATGCTCTATTGTGCTTGGTTTTGCCAGTGCAAAAAACCGATTTTGGTGCAGAAAATACACCATTTCCCCTGCTCCAAACCTCAATAAAAAGACAAACAAAAGTCGTGTCTTTCAGCTGCCTAGCAAACCCACCTGCATGTCTGGGTTTCAGCACTTTATGGAAAAATTTAAATTTCTTTTGCTGACAAAATTAAAAAGCATCTTTTTAAGAAAACCTTATAGCTGCATTATTCTCTCTTCTTGGGAGGAAACTTTAATGTAATGTAGACTTTGAAGTGAGCCTTGGGTTTGTTACAATGGGCTAACCTGATTAGAAATCATGCAAACTCTTGCTGCTCTTTAGCTGCATTCCCCCACAGGCTGTATTACAGCTCTCTAACCAGTCCCACAGCATTGAATGATGTCATGGGATCTGCAGCTCAGCGAGATGAAAGGGATAAAGCGGAACCCGCTGGCACTAGGGAAAGCTTCCAACACACAATCCACAACACAGCTTGGGAACTCAAAAGCTACAGATCTAGCCACTCAACCCCAAGCATTTCAGAACCGTGTGCATTCTCTCAGCATAAGCAAGGAAAGGGGGAAAAGTGCTAGTGCAGAGTACTGAAAGGCAGAATTTAAAAGTGCAACTACCTGCTGGAAAAGCAGCTCTTTTTCTTCGCCGAAGCACTGCCTTTGATGTACGGCAACTGATCACTGATCAGATTACAAGCATTTGGTCTCAGTGCTCGTCTGCCTTTGATCTGCATGGTTAATTTTATTTTCCCGGATTTGGAGTTTCGTCTGGGCTTGTGCTGACATACCTTTTTTTTTTTTTTTTTTTTTTTTTTTTTTTTTTTTTTTTTAAGGAGGTAAAAGCATTTAATACAGAAGCTCTGGCAGTGTGAAATTAAGCTACAGAAAGCCTGGCACTGGAAAACTTCATCAGATAACAGGTACTGGATTTTGTATTTTTTTTGCAGTTCTGTGTTGCAAGATTTTAAAAAATTATAGACTTCACGTAATCAATAATACTGCACATCATTCTGTGTACAAAGGTCAAAAGATTTTATATAATTTATGTGGCATTTTATTTGCAACTCTTAGACAGAACTATATTGAGAATGGACTATCGAGAATATATAGACAACTGAAAACTGAAGCAAAACCAAAAAAATTTTTCAGTGCTTTGGGAGTACATAAGATTTTGCTGTACACTGCTCATTCTTACTGTCTATAGTTTTGTAATTTTATATTTGAATACAAGTATTACATGTCTAGGGGGTGTATTTATTTTCTAAGGAAAGACCAACCATATTTCCTACACACTGTAATACTTTGTTTGCTCTCAGTGCATTTATTAAAATGTGACTTCTTCAAGCAACATTTTTAAGCCTAATAGTTTCATACTTGAGAGGGAAAAAAAAGTCTCAGCTTCCACAACTTAGTAGAAATAAATTTATAAACATAACATCCTTATACACAAAAGGAAACAGTTTTATTTTGATTGAAGAATGATAGTTCAACTGTACCATATGAAAAGAAATCTTGAAAATAAAAGCAACATTTTAACCTGATGACAGAGATTTCCTCTAAGGCATTTTAATAAATATATTAAAAGAAATCTTGGGTTTGTCTAGAGAAAACACCTGGTTTTACTGAACTTCATAAAAGTTTTGCTGCAGTTTAGTGATGCAATTTCCACTCACGGTGTTTTGTATTCTCTTCCTCAAATTCATATTTATGAATATGTACTGTGTTTAAGAAATTTTAAGATATGTACTCCAGAAAGTCATTATAAAGGAACAACCATTAGAAGATTTAGGATTATTCACTATATATTTGTAGTTTTAAAGAGTGTGAATTTGGGCCAAATCCATGAGTGTTCTGTGCCTGCAGCTGGAGTCAGACTGTTAAAATAAGACTCAAGTTTCTTCTGTAGGTATTTAAATATAATTTAGATTTTCAGAAGAACTTAGAACCCATAATTGGGACCAGACTTGCAAAGAAGTTTAACATTCCAGACACTGAGCTCTTTGAAGATCTAGTCTTAATGGTGGCTAGTGAGATCTTCTGAAATACTGACATATATTCTTGAGTCTAAATTTAAGTGTACATAAATCTTAACTACACTTGTTTATTAACAACTTGCAAGTAAAATTCAGCATAACTGATAGGTGCTAAGCATTGTTTGAAAGCTATTCTTTGAGAGGTTTATCAGTCCATAGGACCCTCAAGATGTTCATATTTCAGTATGCACCATGGTAACATGCAAACCCAAATTTTAACAGTCTGCTTGCATCTGAGTAAGATCAAGTTATCAAGACTTCCAGATAAATGTAGACAGTTTTCATTAGTCAGTCTGTGAAATTTGTTTCTTCTAAATAAATTTGTATATATAAATTTTAAATTTACTAAATATCAAGAGTTAATAAGCCAGACACAGATTAACTAGGCCTGATTTGGTATCATTTACTTTTCAATGCCACCAATTAATTCATACTCTTACTTAACAAGTCAATTACGTTATAAGGAAAGTAATTAGCATCGCATGAATAATATGTGTATAGCTGTTAAGGAAGAATATCATTTAAGGTATAGCCAAAGCAAAATGCAGTATTTCTCCCTAAATACTAATGATGCACTAAAACATGTTTCTGTAACCCTGAAAAGATGACTTTATCCATTAATTCTATACTTCACTGATGAGCTTCTCTACTTTTCCAGTCTTCTCTTGCTTGTTGCTTGTTTTCCAATATGTACATTTATTTTCGGAGGAAAGTTGTTTCTAAACCTTACCTCTGTTTGGTGTAAAGTAGAAAGAGAAGCAAATTTTAAAAAATACTATAAGGATTCTTTTTTCTCAGAAGTCAAAATAGCTATGCAAGTCTAATACAAATTAACTATCACTACAAGGATCTGACCCATCACACAAATAGGTGAAGTTGTGCGCAGAAGTAGCACTGGTTAATCAGATATATTACACTGCTGAGTAGGATTTGCATATAAAAATATTTGCAACATTTGGGCCCTGGAAATGCATTTCAGAAACAAATAATTTTTTCATTTTGTAAAATGTCCCTAGGATTTTAGGTAATATCCTCACATATTTAAACAAAGATGGGCGTTAACCCATTTAAACTGAAAAGTATCTTTGCTTGTCTTTATGTAAGAGAGGTTGAAATGAAAGCACACTTGGACATATTTAAGTGTGGGGGGAGAAGAGGATTTACAGCATTTTTGTTGTTTTAAACAGCAATTCTCTGACAGTTTAGTCTGTCACTGATCTGATTTTTAATGATTAAATAGTAATAATTCTTGGCACTTGTGACTTTGCTTTTACAAAGTGCTGTATAAACATTAATTAATCCTCAGTCTTAAGTCTTCAGAAACAAAAAGTTCACAATGCTTATTCAAGCAAATCTGACTAGGAAACTCACAAGTTTATAATTTATTTATTAAAATAACTTGAGCAATTTCTGATTAGAAATAGAGCCATTTCCAAATAGTGTGTCTTAGATAACATCATAAACATATTTTAAGGTTTGTAATAGTTAAGACTATCAAAAGACATTGCACAGTTATACTGACATCAGTTTCCAACAGCTGTCATAACAAGAGTAGATCTGCCTCACAGTTGACTGGGGGAACTGTGTTAGCATTTGAGATATGGAGATAACAACTTCCTATTGCTGTATAATTTCTGCTTCCACATCAGATATGTCACGCAACTTAGTCTTATCAAAGGGGTCAGCTGAAACTACTTTCCAAATATTTCTTTTCTGCTTTCTCTGTTGTAGTAAGAATCTCTATACTAGTTCCTCTAACAGCTTACTTCTTCAACTTCCTTAGAAGCATCATGATTTAAAACAAAATAAACCCTGCAATTTTCAACATCTTGCAATGATGAATGGAATTAACTCATCCATTTTACATTTAGAGGAAAGATTTTTATATGCCACAACAAGGACTTAAATGTTTAAGTTTCAGTATTACAGACTACACATTGCTTTTAGTTCATCAGCATAGTAACTCACTGTCTGATGAGGAAGTCTTAATGTTTCTTTATATGGTAATCCTCGGTGTTTAGCCAACACTTTAAGAACTCTGGGATATTTTAATACACTTGTCTAACTATACTACTTTAAAACTAGTATCTGAAACATACATCATGATTCCACTAAGAAAACCTCATGCAATACATTTCACTGGTGGCTCCAGAAAATAGATAACATACAAAACAGTTGTCTGTAAACAGTGAGACATGCACAATGCTCAGTTCTGTGCAGCAGCTGCCATTCACAACAGATGTGCTGCTATTGTGCCACAGTATGCCATTCCTCACTGAAATTCCAGTCTCTTGCAGAGCTCCTGCTGGCAAGGGTCCTGAAGCAAAAGTCCTCTTTGAAGGCCATTTATAAGATAATTACGTGAAAACCCTTGTACCCTTGGAGTTGTTTGGGGTTTTTTAATTGAAAATTACTAATTTTGCAACAATCATTTATCTCTTTCCATACCTTTTGCTGTATTTCAGTAAGCACTCCTTGTTTTTATAGAAGTCCTTGTGGCTGGCCATCTTCAAAATTTTACCTGTGAGAAGCTCCAAAAATTCTGTTTATTTGAAAATGCTTAACCACTAAGTATAGGAATTTGTTCATTCTCTTCAGAACCTAACTCAGTTCCTTCTGTGTCCATACAATTGTCTAGACTGTAAGTGGATCATTAACCTTTTCATTAGAAGTAAAACTAATGATGTGAAATCCCTGCAGTGGCAGTTCTTTCACCAAGATCTCCACGATTAGTTTCACCAATGTTGGAGCATCTCTAACTTCAGGAAAGTTCCTAATTTGTGTCACAGTAAGTAGAAGTAAAGTACACTCTTTCTAGTGACTGTGAACAATTTGCTGCCTGTGAAGGGCTGGATTTCTCCGTTTCTCCATGGACACTCACATTTTGTATCGACACTGCGCTTATAGCTGGATAACTTGTTACCTGCAGAATGGAAAAATATTTCAGATTCTGAACTAGTAGGAAAAAAAAGCTACTCAAGTTCATTGGAAAGGAGAGTTTACAGAAAGGAGAGTTTGTAGGAATTGTCAGAAAGCCTCCATCATGCCTTCTGGGTGGGAGAGGTGGAAAGGGCTTCACTGAGTTCAACTCATTCTATATTCACATTCTGAATGGTGGCAAAGGGCCAGTTCATTTAAAACAGCCCAGCAGCCAGGGGCTAAGCAGCCATTCCCGCTCTGCTCTGCCTGATGCAGCCTCATCTTGACTATCGTGTGCAGTTCCGGTCTCTGCAATACAAGAAAGATATTAAGCCATCAGAGAGCGTCCAAAGGAGGGCAATGAGGATGGTGAAGGGCCTTGAGGGAAAGCCGTATGAGGAGTGGCTGAGGTCACTTGGTGTGTTCAGCCTGAAGGTAGACCTCACTGCAGTTACAACTTACTCGTGAGGGGAAGAGGAGGGGCAGGCACTGATCTCTTCTCTGTGGTGACCAGTGACAGGACCTAAAGGAATGGCCTGAGGTTGTGTCAGGGGAGGCTTAGGTTGGATATTAGAAAAAGGTTTTTCACTCAGAGGGTGGTTGGGCACTGGAACAGGCTCCCCAGGGAAGCGGTCACAACACCAAGCCTGACATAGTTCAAGAAGCATTTCGATTATGCTCTTGGGTACATGGTATGACTCTTGGGGATGGTCCTGTGCAGGGCCAGGAGTTGGACTCTATGATCCTTGTAGGTCTCTTCCAACTCGGCATATTCTGTGATTCTGTAATAAGCCTGGACTCCCACTGAGGGAGATCAGCAAGACCAGGGCTGCAGCCTCCAAAGCCTATGCAGCCTCAGCAGGCAGGGGTGCGCACAGCAAGTCCCTGCTATCCCACTCTCCTGGTGGGGCAGAAAGGGGACCAGCGCCTCATCTGTCATTCACCCCGGCTTCGCACCGCCGGTACAA